TCGCTAGTATTATTGGTGAAGAAAAAGGATGGAAGTTGACGATTTTGCACAAACTATTGCGCACTGAATACCTCCACCATCAAGGACCGATTTCCCATTCCGACAATAGACGACATGTTGGATGAATTGCATGGCACATCCTACTTTACCAAGCTCGATCTAAGGGCCGGATATCACCAAGTAAGAGCAAATCCTTCCGACATACTCAAAACTATTTTTCGTACTCACAACGGTTATTACGAATATTTAGTGATGCCATTTGGCCTATGTAATGCACCCTCTACATTCCAAGCCATCATAAACTCTATATTTTGACCTTATCTTCGAAAGTTTATTTTGGTTTTCTTTGCTGATATTCTCGTATATAGTTCTACTTGGGATAGGCATATGGTGCATGTTAAACAAACCTTGAAGATTGTGAGGCAACATCAATTTTTTGCCAAGGCCAGTAAGTGTGCATTCGGCCAACAAGAGTTAGAATATTTGGGACACATTGTTACACCTCAAGGAGTGAAGGTCGATAATCACAAAATTGCAGCCATGGTAGGGTGGCCTTAACCAACTAATATTTCTGAATTACGTGGTTTTTTAGGCTTGATAGGAATTACAGGAAATTTGTTTAAAATTATGGCATCATCGCTCAACCCCTTACCAACCTCCTCGAGAAAGTGCAGTTCGGATGGAACAAGGAAGCTGGAGTAGCCTTTGTGACTCTTAAGCAAGCGTTGACCACCAAACATGTTTTGGTGATGCCCAATTTCAATGAGTCCTTCACCATAGAAACAGACGTTGTAGGGGAAGGAATAGGCACGGTCTTAACTCAACAAGGCAAGCCCATCGCCTTTATGAGATATGCACTGGGAGTTACAAAAAAATCGTGGTCAACCTACGCCAAAGAAATGCTTGCAATTATGGAGGCTATACCCGTATAGCGACCATATTTATTAGGGAGGAAGTTCTTCATCCAAACCAACCAACGTAGCTTAAAATATTTTTTGGAATAACATTTGGCAACACCGAAGCAGCAAAAATGGGTAGCCAAATTGCTAGGCTACGATTACGAGATCACTTATTGCCTGGGCCATGAAAATTCAGCAGTGGACGCCCTCTCACACAAACCCAGTGGTCTAGTCCTTAATCACCTCCATGTACCCACCGTAACCATGTGGGATGACGTTCGGAAGGCATACGAAGGAGACCCATACATTCAGTCAGTCGCTCATTTGGCCAAAACTCAAACCGAAGGGCCATATACACAACGATAGGGGTTATTCTACTTCAGAGGCAGGGTACTCATTCCTTCCCAAGGGGAGTTACGGAAAAGGCTCATTCCTTCCCAAGGGGAGTTACGGAAAAGGCTGCTACATGAGGCTCACGACACAAAAATCAGGGGGCATTCACGAGTGTTACGGACGTTCAAGCGGTTGGTTCAACAATTTTATTGGCCTAAAATGTATCAAGAAGTCCACGAATACGTCTAGCGCTGTGAAGTATGCCAAAATATTAAATTCGTGACACTCTCACCTGCAGGACTTCTCCAACTGTTGCTCATTTCGTGCCAAGTATGGGATGATATCACTCTTGACTTCATTGAAGGACTACCCACTTCTCACGGCAAGGACACAATATTGGTAGTAGTGGACAGGTTAAGTAAATTTGCACATTTCTTAACCTTAACTCATCCATTTACTGCTAAAGGTGTGGCTGAAAAACTTGTGGAAGGGATTATAAAGTTGCACGGTCTGCCAAAATCCATCATCAGTGATCGCGATCCAGTCTTTATTAGCAGGTTTTGGCAAGAATTTTTTCAAATGTCAGGCACCGAGTTTCAACTTAGCTCCGCCTATCATCTGCAAACTGACGGCCAAACGGAAGTGGTCAACCTTTGTGTGGAATAGTATCTTCGGTGCTTTGTGCATCAATGGCCACGCAAGTGGAGTGCCTATTTTCCTTGGGCTGAGTTATGGTATAATACAACGTACCATGCTTCAACGGGAATGACTCTATTTCAGGCGTTATACAGGCGTCCACCCCCTTCATTTCCACTTTATCATAATGGTTTTTCTTCTGTCAACGAAGTGGATGAGCAACTGATAACTAGAGATGTGATACTACGATAGCTCAAAGCCAATCTGGAAGCCTCCATCAATCGCATAAAGCAAACGACTGATCAAAAGAGGAGGGATGTCACGTTCGAAGTAGGTGAAATGGTGTTTCTCAAGTTGCATCCCTATCGGCAACAATCAGTTTTTAAACGTGCCTACCAGAAGTTTGCCAGTCTATTTTATGGGCCATATCCTGTGATACAAAAAATTAGAGCGGTTGCTTACAAACTTCAGCTACCAACGGGAGCCCACATTCACCCAGTTTTTCACATTTCCCTCTTAAAGAAATTTATTGGCCAGCATACACTGTCCTCTACTGAGTTGCCGCCCGTAACTGATGAAGGCCCAATCGTACTTGAGCCCCAGCGCATTCTAGATACTCGCTGGGTCAAAAAGGGCAAGAAGTTTGAAGAAGAACACTTGGTTCAGTGGAAACATTTGCCAGCTGAAGAGGCCACGTGGGAGACGCACCTATCATTGCTTGAGTAATTTCCAGATGTGGACCTTGCGAATAAGAGTCCACCCGATGGGGGAAGTATTGATAAGCCACGATGTTTAGCTAGAGGTTTCAAACCAAATCCTAAATATTTGGGAGGAGGTTGACTGGGGAGACACAAATGGGACATGACGACGTAGTGGCATGCATGGATTGGGTCTTAGCAGTTGGAGAGATTTAAGCTTGATGTTATCTTTATGTTGTATTTTATTTCAGTAGTACATGGAGTCCATTTCTATTATTTCATTTGTAAAGCGTCGGTTACTGGTAGTGGCCTTAGGATGTTCCTCTGTTTTCGGCTTACTCTGTTGTTTAGTTTCATGCATATGGTCTGCTATATAAGCAGCCTTGGATTATCAATGAAGCATAGAAAAATTATTCCAGTTAAACTGTGGTACATCCTCACCCGAAGAGGATATTTATGTGAGTGTTTTTATTTACATTCACACGGGACCTATCATTCATTTGGGATATAAAGATGCAAAAGAAGAAAGTTTTGATGGTGTATTATAAACTCAAATAAAGATATTGACTTTCTCTTTATCCCCTTTCTTTTCTTTTTCAACATATGAAAAAGCTATACCAATTATATGCATTAGCTACAACACTACTTGGGTCGATGCATTTGGGGTCTTGTATCCATCATTTCAGCCAAGGACTAATAAGGTCTCTACTATCATTTACTCTCCTAATTTTTGTCTCTCATTAGTCTCGATCCAATAGAGTGTTTTTGTTGTTGTTGTTCTTTCCGATTTCTAAGAATTACATTACTTTGTCGAAAGGTCCGTCTACTTGTACTGTACGTTTAGGATAAAATGTTTACCACAAGGCTACAAAGTAAATAACTCAAATTTATTAGTCTAAGTGCGAGGGAGAAAGAGTTCAATTTAGGGATTGGGAAGCTAGGGTTGAGCCCAGATATATGTCTAAAGTAAAGAAGGAACTTTAGCTAGTTAAAAGAGAAGATGATGGGTATGAATTATAAATTAGGGTTCATGCTTTAAAAGAATACAAAATCATCCCCATTCACATGATGAAGAGTGCATTTCAATTAGAATTCTATCAATGATAGAAACATTAGACAAAAGCTATCAATTTGCTTTAGCTTTTAAAATCACAATTACCTCCTCTTTAAATTCAATCATGTTGGTGTGATGGCTTTATACGGTGATGTTTCATCATTAAATGGAGCGACGTCGTTTTGAGCTAATGGTGAGATTAATCCTGAGCGTTGGCTTGCTGAAGATCCAACGGTGGAAAAGGAGCCTAAAGGTCAATGATATATAAGTAGGCAAGCAGGGCAGAATCGATTGATTGAAAATTTGTATCTCTTTCTTCTCTGTCAAGCAAAAACTGTATCTACTAGGGTTTGGGCTTTTGTGGTCTTGATTCTTGTAACTGTAAATCAAGTGGCTGGTTTCAGGTCATTTGAGTGTGCTAGTGTACATAGGTCATTAGGGATATATGGAATAGTGTCTCTAGGGAGTTACAGGTTCTTGAGAAGATTGGAGGCGGTTTTGATATTGGGTAGAAATCTGTATTGTGATCTTGATAAATATTGTGCAGCGAGCTCACTGGTTTCCCAAGCTCAACGTGGACGTAGCTTGCTCAAACTAAGCAAGTGAGCCACGGTAATTGTTGGTGTTTTGTGTGTGTTTGTTTGATCTGTGTTGTTTGGATTGTTGTGTGTTTAGGTTGGATTTGACGTGTAGGTTATAACAAATCATAATGAAGCTTCGACAACACGAGTTTCATTTTTGTTTGTTTCAATAATTTAGGTGTGCTACCCTCAAATCCATTCATCTATCTCTGTGATGAACCATTCAGTGGAATGAACAAATCATAACCTTAAACTTACTCAATAAACTTATTCTATTTTGTATGAACCGGTAAATATATAATAAAGTTATTACACATTTAAATTTGATAACTTAAGGGGGATTTTCCAATTCAATGCCAACTAATCCATTCATCAATATATAATAAAGTTATTACTTTAATTGATACACATTTAAAACACAATTAAACATCAATAAATTAATAATCTCTATTAAATAATATTTTTAGCCAGTCCCGTGGGACTAATGTAATAAATTAATAATTCGTTAAATTTATAAAATAATATATTAAAGATGCAAAAGAAGAAAGCTTTGATGGTGTATTATAAACTCAAGTAAGGACATTGACATTCACTTTATCACCTTTCTTTTTTGATGCCCAAACTGTTTTTCTTTTTCAACATATAAAAAAGTTATACAAAACACGACAAGACTTTAGCCATTAAGGAAATTATTACCTCTGGATAGTAAAATTGTATTTTGAAATAGTCATTAGGCCATTGTTTTTGTTTGATGAGAGCGGACATGTGATGTATATGCCTTATACTACGTATAGTGGTGAGAGACCTCAATAAAACCCAATACAAAAGTCTAGACTCTGATTCTGACCTCACCTCTCATTATCAATTTATTCTTTCTTCTCTCTGATTCAAAACTTGAACCAATATTTTGAGAGAGCATGGCAAACATTCGTTTAATCTCCTCCAGCAGTGTCTGTGCAGCCAATCACAAGAAACCGAACCTAAGGATTGATTTAACTCCTTGGGATCTTCAGCTCTTTCTGGTGGATTCCATCCAGAAGGGACTTCTCTTTCACAAACCAAAACCTCCAGACAATGAAGAATTAGAAAACACAAACTTCAACTCCATAATCAACCACCTTAAGACCTCCCTTTCACGTACGCTTGACTTCTTTCCCCCGCTATCAGGTCGCTTTGCCACCACTGAACATGACGATAACACAGTCTCCTTTTTTATAGATTGCAATAATGCTGGAGCCGAGTTTATTCATGCTGTAGCTGAGGGAGTTTCAATTGCAGATATCATTGAACCTATCTACGTTCCTAAAATTGTTTACTCCTTTTTCCCACTAAATGGTGTTAGGAACCATGAGGGTACCTCCAAGCCATTGCTCGCCGTGCAAGTTACTGAGCTTGTGGATGGGATCTTTATTGGTTGCACCATTAACCATACCGTTGCTGATGGCTCATCTTTTTGGCATTTCTTCAATTCTTGGTCAGAAATTTCTCGAGGTTTGAATTGTTTATCCAAACCTCCTCTTCTTCAGCGCTGGTTTGTTCGTAATACTGATTGTCCTGTTCGCATACCTCTCTTGACCAACGAACAACTTTATAATAGGTTCGTTCCACCACTTCTGCAACAAAGAGTTTTTCACTTTACAAGGGAAAATATAGCAAAACTCAAAGCAAAAGCCAATGCTGAGATAGGCACCAACAAAATCTCCTCTCTTCAAGCTCTCTTATCTCACTTTTGGCGATCTGCAATCCGCAACAAACATCTTGATCCCAATGAAGAGATTAATTATCGCATGTTGATCGGTGCTAGACAAAGATTGCAAGCACAATTGCAGGCAGAATATTTTGGAAATGCAGTTCAGACTGGGACAGTAGCAATGAAAGCAGGAGAGGTAGTAGAGAAAGGACTTGGCTATGTGGCATTGCAAATGAACAAGATGGTTGCTGTGCACACAGAAGAGAAGTTAATGAACTTCTTGAAGTCATGGACGGACAGCCCAAAGCTAATAACAATGGACAGCGTGGTAACTAATGCTTTGGTCACTAGTAGTTCGCCAAGGTTCAACATTTACGGCAATGATTTTGGGTGGGGAAAACCAATTGCAGTAAGAAGCGGACCAGGAAACAAGTTTGATGGGAAGATAACAGTGTTTCCTGGAGAAGAAGAAGGCAGTGTAGACATTGAAGCTTGCCTTTCGCCTGAAACATTACAGGGTATGGCAAATGATGCAGACCTCATGGAAGCTGTTATTAACTAGTCTAGATTGAGTCTGGAATCCAGTTAATTACATATATCCATTGTATATAATTATAATAAGTTTCTGCAGTTGTTTCATAGATGCATCAAGGATGAAGCTTTGTTTATCTTTTAATCTTTCTGTATTATGTTATATCGTAATTAATCATTTGGTTTCATGTTTTAAATGTGGGGTAAAATATGACCGACATAAATTTGTGGTCTGTGACTGGTTGTCATTGGATGGACCCGTGACCGACAAAAAGCCGAGCAGAAAGTCCAACCAATAGAGTGGTCAGTGCCATTCGGAATCTCCACCCCCTTGTTACTATAGCATTGCACCATTCTAGAGTTTGATAAAAGTGCCAAATGTGTACCTTTATATGATGAAAGTGTAGAAAAAATAAAAATTATTAATTAATATGTAATTTTATAATTTTGTAATTTTTTTAATAGATGATATACCCCACAATAGATTATCAATTCTATTAAAGAACCAAAATACACGTCAAAGATCTAAAAATAAAAAAATAATTAGATTTGAAGAGCCGTACACTTAAGGTGGACTTGTGTGACTAATTGGTTTCATAATTTCATAATTTTATTTTTAGGATTTGGATTTGATTTAATTTAATTACTGATGCCACATCACCGTATTTATAAAGCTTTAAGCCAGGAAGATTCTGTTCTCATGGCTAGTAATCCAAGTTTAAAGGGTGTTTCACGCTTTCACCGTCCTACCATGACCGAAAGGGACTCCCAATCTCCGTTCGAATTGTTTTCATGGGCATTCAATTTGTCCATTATCAATATACATACATAGACACGATGTAAACAAGCTTGAATATTAGAACAATTATTATAACATTTGTTTCCTAATTTCAACACGTCACTCTCATATGTACACCGTTTAAAAACCCTCAAAGTTACATATCACTAGGGTGAAATGAACCCAAGTAGTATTGTGGCCGCATTGCAGTATAGATGGTATGATGAATTCAAGATATTAGCATTTGATATGATTTATTTAATAAAATATTTTAAGAATTGGTTTCTACTCGTTTTTTAAAATACATTTCGAAATACATTAATAAGCCTATAGGGGTATTTTTGAAATTCATAAAATGTAAGTTTTTGTTATGTTTTTATATCTCATGCATTTTTTCTCATTTCTTTAGTTATTCGTTATCATTTTACTATATGATTTCTTTTGATAGACAAGGTTTGTTACTTTGTTCATATAACCTTTATATTTTTTTTTTCTTTTAGTGAATTTCATCGTACCGTCAAAGTTCAACAATATAAAAAATTGCAAGAGAAGCTAGGAATTTTTTTTTTTTTTTTTCCTTTTTTCACTTTGATTGTAAGAGAATTGTACGTCAAAGCACAAGGAATCTCTCTTTTGGACCTCTAAGTTGAAAGTACTATAATTAAAAAAACATGTAAAATTTTAAATTAATTAAAAACTTGTAGATTTAGAAAAGTAACTTATGTACTTTCTAAAAGCATTCCCAACCTAGAAATATATATATAATTTATTTTATAAGTTTGACAATTATATTTCATTACAATTTTAATTAATATAATTGAGATTTTCATTTAAATAATAATTAAAAAGAACAAATTAAACTATTTTGAATTATTGATACAATTAAATACACCCAACTACCCTATGAAAATATATGCTCAATATGGATTATATTTTATTTATCAAATGATGGATGTTGGGGTATAAAAATATATATTTATCTTTATCTTTATCAAAATACCCAAGTGATATATAAATAAATAAATTGATATATCTTTTAGGATTATATAAAAAAATTGGGTTTTGCTGATTCGAAAACCAATTTTGATATGCTTTATATAAAAAAATCCAAAAAGTATAGAAAATACACCTATATATATATATAATATATATATATATTATATAGATATATATATTACACTATACTAAATAAATCTATCAAATATTATCAAATTTGAGAAAGTTTATAGTATTACAATTTACAATGTCCTCGTAATAGTAGTACCACAAAGTAATACATTTATGTTATATAGAAATTAAATTTAATAACAACAAATATAAATATCAATGAAAGAGAAGAAAATATAATAACAATATAAATTTATTGGGCCGTTCGTTGTATGACTGATGTATCCTTGCAATTAATATTGAAGATTTTTTAAATAAAATATATGTAAAATATTTAGAAACCAAATTCAAAAAATTTGACCCATAATCGGACATAGGAATCTACAATTTAAAATTCCACCGACTAACAACAATTAACTCATATTTTGGGCAACCACATATATTTATTTTTTCTCCACCGACTAACAACAAGACTAAGCCACATACTATTTCCCCCTTCAAAATTATAGCAGGCTAAGCAAAGCTAATCCCTTTCACATGGTTTCTCCCACTTTGTGTGACTCATCAAGCACTTTTTTTTTTTTTCACCATTTAAGCACTTTTTTGTTAAGCACTTCTATGTCACATATTGATCTGTCTTTGATGTAAAGGTCTTAGAAATTTTTTTAATGTATAGGCTAAAGGTTAGAGTGAATGACAAATTTCCACCCAAGGTTTGGCATAATTACATTCTGTCACTCAAAAACTTTGAAAAAAACAATTTTTCACTCATTGTTAATATTCGTATGTTAACTTTAATTGAAGAAGAACATCATGGTAAATTAACTAGAAGCCGAAAAATCAACAATTTAAATCTAGGTGCTAGGTGGAATCTCTTTTAAATGCAGATTAAACAATTGTGGACAGTCAAGATTTTTATATTCAACGATTTCTTAACTTAAATATGATTACGTTGTAACTAAACTACAATATCCACAGATCAAATATATCACACAAGCCACAAAGAAAAGCAAGAATCAATCACAACACACACATTTTACCGTGGTTCACTTATCTAAATTGGATAAGTTACGTCCACATTGAACTCTGGAAATGGGAGAGCGCGTTGCACTACTTATTAACAAGATTCAACCAAGAACAAGTGCAAACCCAATCACACTCTCAACGATTACAAGTAATCTTCACAGTAGCTAATCCTAGAGATACTCACCTGGAATCCCCAAGAACAAAAGCAAAGAAGCCCTCCTGATTGACTAACAGATTACCCAATCACACAAGTTACAAAGATCAATCTAAGACCTTTAACAGAGAGAAAATCGTGAATATAAAACTTTTTCAACCAGAGACAAAAACACAACATCTATTTACTATGCAGTGCCCCTTTTTATAGTGTTGACTTAATGAAGCTTCTCAACCATCAGATCAGATTTGAGATCAATGATCAGGATTCATCATAGACAAATATCAAAGTGCAGCGTTTCATTTGTGCTCCAAAACTGCACCGTTTTAGTCTTCACTTCAGCAGATTGTAAATTAAGTTATTATATTGAAAAAACTAGAACATAGCTTCTTTTTTTATGTTTTGAAAGTGATTATTCGTTTGTTTTAGAATGCAGTTTAACTCCCAAACATTTATCATTTTGGTAGTGAGTGCCAATTGGTTTTGGAAATGCAATTTTAAGTCTCATTTTTTTTCATCAATTCAATCTTAAAAAACGTCATATCCTTCAAATTTGAATAGAATAATCTAACAATCTATCAGATTTGAGATCAGATTTACTGTGCAGTGCCCCTTTTTATAGTGTTGACTTAATGAAGCTTCTCAGCCATCATATCAGATTTGAGATCAACAATCAGGATTCATCATAGACAAATATCAAAGTACAGCGTTTCATTTATGCTCCAAAACTGCACCGTTTTAGTCTTCACTTCAACAGATTGTAAATTAAGTTATTATATTGAAAAAACTAGAACATAGCTTCTTTTTTTATGTTTTTAAAGTGAGTATTCGTTTGTTTTAGAATGCAGTTTAACTCCCAAACGTTTATCATTTTGGCAGTGAGTGCCGATTGGTTTTGGAAATGCAATTTTAAGTCCCATTTTTTTTTTTTTTTTTGGATTGCTAGATTATTCTATTCAAATTTGAAGGATATGACGTTTTTTAAGATTGAATTGATGAAATTTCTGAAATCAACAAGTGTTCACTATAATAAAGGCCAAGCACACGAGGATTTGGTTTGCATTTTTTAAACCAGAGGCGGCTCACTGCCAAAAAAAAAAAAAAAAAAAAAAACTAACACACTATGGTTAGGATTGTATTTCCAAAGGAAAATAATAGAGTTACAGAAAATTACACACCAAATCTATGCACTGAATGACGTAGTAAAATCCTAACCGTTGATTAATATTAACTTATAATGAATCAATGGTCAACATTGTGCCACGTTATTCGATGCACGAATTCAATGCACATCCTTCGGTAACTATAGCATTACTCATTTCCAAAACCATTGGGTGCTCACAAAAAAGGTTAAAAACACGAGAGTTTACTATAAAAAATCTGGTTAGTTTTTAGTTTTTTTTGCCAACCAACGATGTTGTATTAAGATTAAATTCCAAAAACATTATGAATTTTGATAACATTAAGGTATATTAAAATTACCCATTAATCTAATTAATATCTTCGGTGTATCAATTTTACATTTTAATAAATAAAAAATTGACTGAAAATTTGTATTTTAGTGCAACGCTAATGTAAGGAATGTAAATTTTGATTTTAAAATTATTAAAAATTTTTGTGTTTGAAAATTTTTGTGAATTTATATGATCGAAAATAAAATGTGTATATGTCACACAAGTTATCATAATGCTTCTCCTTAATCCAATGTGATAAATATTTTGCTTTCACTTGACTTAATCAAAGTCTTCTTCCTTGGTCAAGTGTCTTCATTTGCAAGTCTACATATATGAATTTTCTTTTCCTGTTAATTATGTCCCGGAAAATTTCATTTTCTCGAGAAAAGTCTACAGCAAATTCTGTTATGTGTAGCAATTCAATGCAACATAAATTCTTACTACGTTTCCATTTGTAAGGACCAAGCAATAATATTAGAAAGTTGAAAAGTCGCCCAGAAACTTTCACAATTACTTAAATAAATACTTGAGAAAGTTTTGAGAAAATTTGATTTGAATAGTTATTAGAAGTAGATGATATATTAAATAATCGATGTTTTGATATCATATTTTAGTAGGTAAGTTTATACTTACCGATTTTATATACTGACTTCTCATCTTGACTGATATGGAGTGTGAAGTGGTCAGGTTGGAGATTCTCCACATCGTACTTCATATCAGTTGAGATAGGGAGTCAGTTTATAGAACCGGTAAATATAGTATTTTTCATTTATTTATTTATTATTGATATTATTTACAATGAATGAGGTGGCCTCATTACCAAGTGGGTATTTTATCATTGGCCTGGAAATAATTTTGGTTTGCAGATTTGATCAGAATTTGTCATGCGTGTGCATGTGTGTGAAAAGCAAAGCAACTTTAGAAGTGCACTCCAAGCAACAAATCATGAATGTCCTCAACAAGGACTTGTGGGCAATCCCCATCCTAATGAAGATGAATTTTAGTGAGTGTGTTTAGAACATTTAAGTTAATAAATTTATAATAAAATTTTGTAGGATCAATATGAATATAAGCGAGGTTAAAATTGTAAATATCATAAAATATAAAACTTTTTATTTTTTCAAAGTTTGAGTGGTTCAATATTAATTTAAGTAAGGTCAAAATTATAAATCCTACAAAATTACAAATTTTTTATTTTTTTTTTTAATTAAAGTTTGGATGGATTCAATTGAACCCGTATGTTATAGTGTGTCTATGTCCCTATATACACCTAATACCCGTAAAGGGGTTCCAACTAGGCATAACTCATGATAGTCTCTATAGACAATTAGACATGTAATGTTATCTCCAAACAGAATAATAAACCTTTTGAATCAAGAGTGGAGTTAAGGTTGGATCTCCTGTCACAACCCCATCATTTTTTTTTTTTTTTAAATAAAACAACTTCCTAGAAACTTCATAGCTTGCCCATTTCCCTTTTGAGAGCTAATAAGAAAGTAAACGAAAATTAAAGAAAAGTGATCCAATCATTTTGTTGTTATAAGAATGCAAAAAAACTTTACAAGATTAAAGAATCAATAGTGGCATGCTCAATTTCAGCTTTTGATGTACCTATCTATATATTTAACAATTTGCACTTTCATTTGGACTATAAAGATGCAAAAGAAGAAAGCTTTGATGGTGTATTATAAACTCAAATGAGGACATTGACTTTCACTTTATCGCCTTTGTTTTCTTTTTTCAGCATATGAAAAAGCTATACAAATTATATGCGTTAATTAGCTACGACACTACCTGGGTCGATACGCTTGGTGTCTTGTATCCATCATTCCAGTCAAGGACTAATAAGGTCTCTACTATCATTTACTCCCTTAATGTTTGTCTCTCTTTAGTCTTAATCCAATAGAGTGTTTTTGTTGTTGTTGTTCTTTTCAATCTCCAAGAATTGCATTGCTCTGTCGAAAGCTCTCTCTATCTATAGTGTACGTTTACCACAAAACTACAATTTAAATAACTCAAATTTATTGGTCTAACTGCAAGAGGGAGAAAGAGTTCAATTTAGGGATTGGGAAGCTAGGGTTGAGCCCAAATATATGTCTAAAGTAAAGAAGGGAACTTTAGCCAGTTAAAAGAAAAGATGGGTATAAGTAATAAATTAGGGTTCATACTTTAAAAGAATACAAAATCATCCCCATTCACATGATAAAGAGTGCATTTCAATTAACATACTATCAATGATAGAAACATTAGACAAAAGCTATCAATTTGCTTTAGCTTTTTAAATCAAAAGTACCCGCTCTTTAAATTCAAGCTTCCAAAACACTAGTTTCATTTTTGTTTCTTTCAATAATTTAGGTGTGCTACCCTCAAATTCATTCATCTATCTCTGTGATGAATCAAAAGCCTAAACTTTTGGGCCTCGACCTGGACATTTGTTGGGCCTCAAGAATGTGGGTTGCAGCCCAGAGTATTGGTATTATTGGGCTTCACTGAGAAGTGGGTCTTGACCATGCTTTTGATAAGAGTTTTCCCAAGTGTGATTTAACCGATGCACATACAAGAGTACTCATACTAAAAATAAACATTATTATGATATTTTGTAATATTGAATAGGGTTAGATTTGAGAGCCTCATATTTTTCTACATAAGTTTTTACATAATTGTTGAACCATAGGATTAATCCATTTAAATGTATATATAATATCTTCCTTAATTAATCGTAAAAATGATATAAGATTAATTATTTCTAGTTGGTTGAGCGGCTTGATAGGAACTCTTAGATATATTACTCAAAAAATTTTGAGTTTGAGTCTCTCCTCAGATGCTAATAGGGTTAGCCATTAGAGTTCTTATTCAGTCAGTAGTTCCAAGATTCCAAGAGATTAATTGAGGTGCACGTAAGTTAGTCCGAACACTCCAATCATTAAAAAAAAAAATATGAGATTTTTGTTATATTCTAGATTTTTTTTTTTTTTCATCGTAATTATTGAGTGATTACGTTCTAATATATTAATGTCTTTTACGGAAAACTAAAACAATAGTGTTTATAATTATTAAAAACCCAAATTAAATTTTAAATTAATTATCATCCTTAATAGAAATTTAAAAAAAAAAAAAAAGAATTTGTCTCTATATTTGTGGCCCCATACCCAATCCTTGCGTTCCATCCCAACTCAACTTCCGGATAAGCATTCCATTTTCAACGCAACCAAAACGCAAAGAAACAAGAAAACAAGAAGCTCACTAAATATCTCACTGCTCTTTTAGATATTTTAACATCAACAGTAAAACGAAAACATAAACATAAACAAAAATGGCTGCAACACTATCAGCAAATTCAAGTGTTCTCTACAGAGAAGCTTGCCATCAAAGAGAGCAGCAGCAGCTATGGAGTGCTTCTGCTTCTGGGAATTGTTTGTTACTGCAAAAAAGTGCTTCTGGGTTAAGCAGTAGAAAGCATAATAAGAAGAAGATTAATTTGAGAAGAGATGTGAGAGTTGAAGCTTTGTGGCCTGATTTATCAAGACCAACTTCTGTAGATATGGAAGCCATCAATGATGGCGATGAGCTTGACCAGATTTTGGCTCGCGCTCAAGAGCTTTCTCAGCCTGTTCTCATAGACTGGTAATCAATCATCCCTTTCACTTTGTAATCTTGATTTGATGCTCAAGCAGTCAGTCTTAGGAGTTTGTTTTTGTATGATTGATTAGGATGGCTTCTTGGTGCCGGAAATGCATCTATTTGAAGCCTAAGTTGGAGAAATTGGCAGCTGAATATGATACCAAGTAATTCTCTTTTCCTTCTACCATTATGAATCAATAACCTTTTTGTAGATTGTAGTATTAAGTTGATTTCATAACCATTTAGTTCATTGCAAGTTGAATCAATTCTAAAAAGATTTATTAAGAGTAAGAAGAAATTAACCGTGAAGGTGTCACATTTCATTGTATTACTATAACCTTAAATTGTATATAGATGTTAATTATATCTCTAAAACGGTTTATGCTAACCATGGCCGGGTGGTCAAATAGGGATTTTCAGATGTATTACTCAAGAGACCCTGAGTTTGATTTCCCTATTTTTAATGGGGATAGTCACCAGAGGATTACCCGGCTGTGCGTGTTGATACACGCATTACTCTCTCATAAAGCAAATTACAGAGACTAAACATTTTCTTTTATATGACCTTACTTGTCGGATATAGAAGAGAATTTCTCATAAATAGTTGTATTATGAACTTTCACCATTAAGCTCAGTGTTTGATTAAACATCGACTGTCATTGTGATCTTGGGCTTGATTCAACCGCTAATTACTCTCTTCCATCCAAGAATTAATTTGATCAAAGTAGTATAATGCTTACATCCTAATCAACATTTTTCTTCTTTCTTGTACTTCAGAATAAGGTTTTACTACGTAGATGTCAACAAGGTACCTCAAGGTTTAGTCAAGCGTGGAAACATCTCTGTAAGTATATTTATATGTTTTGAACATGGCTTATTGGTGGTGGTAAACGATCTGTTACTGTCATCTAACATTAGAAGCTGAAAATGTCCAACATTCTAATGATGTTTTATGGTTTCTCTTTGCTCAGAAAATGCCAACAATTCAGGTATGTGTTCCACCTCTTTCTCTTTGTTGAAAGCATTAATTTGATCAAAATGAAACTATAAGAGACTTGAAACTTGATGGTATAATTAATTAATTGTATTGTAGATATGGAAAGATGGTGAGATGAAATCAGAAGTAATTGGAGGGCATAAAGCATGGCTTGTGATTGAAGAAGTAAGAGAAATGATCAAGAAGTTTATATGATGAATTGCATGCTATTGTTCATGCTTTATATATACAATTTACTTTTTTTCCTACAGAAAAATCATGTACATAATTCCAAGTTTTCCATTCGAAACCTCAACAAAATTTTGATTTTGCAAATTGTAAGTCCCAACTTACTAATCGTCACACCGCTTACCTATGTATGCACCCTTTAAAGTTAACGACGATTACTCATCTAAAAGTAAATCACAATATTAAAGTAGTTTCAATGTTCGGAAACTTTATATGGTGTTATGTTGCTGGAGTAACGATGTCTAGTAGAGCAAGACCATTTGGAGAGGGTGTAATGGTACATTAAAAATGTATGTGACATAAAGAATTTTAAATGCAATACAACCAATTCGTCGCTTTGGCCGAGTGGTTAAGGCGTGTGCCTGCTAAGTACATGGGGTTTCCCCGCGAGAGTTCGAATCTCTCAGGCGACGTTTATTTATTGCACTTTTATTGTTTTAAATTGAGCATACAACTCTTCTATTTAATGTGATTGCCTTTTTTATTTTATTTATTTATTTTCTTGATTTCATATGTTGTTACCTTTTATCATAATAATTTACTAAGTTAATTATGGAATAAATTATAAATCATTACCATTTCTTTTTAAAGAACAATATAATGTCAAAACTCTTGATTTGTATAAAAATTATACAATTTTGCATTAGTATTAGGGTAACGTGCTGAATACATAAGACTAATTTTAAATTGATATAAAACGATTATTTCTACAATTAGAAATGTAATATATATTATACTTTTTTTCTTGTATAATTTTATCATAAAATAAAACTACTAGACAACGGAGCAAAACCAACCCTCCTATACCAATTTGCTATTACTATATTATATTCACAAACTTGTATACATAAGAGACCGAAATCTTATCCTCTTTGCATACACTATTATTGAAATGTATTACATAATTGTACTAAGAGTTTTCCATATATTTATAAAGGATTTTAGTAATCATAGGAGATACACAATATTTTTCCACGATAGCACATACATTTATTTTTATTTTTATTTATTTTTTTTTTTTCAGTAATTGAGGTGTTCGGACCAATTTATACATACTTCGACTAATCCTCATGAGAAGCTAATATAGAATTACTAAAACAATATTATGCTTTTAACCTCTGTTTTAAAAACCGGACCGAACCGGCCGATCCAACCGGGACTAAGCAACTTTTTTACTCTGGTTCAAGTCTTAGGGGGGTTTTTGTAATATTTCAAAATTATAAAGGTTGATAAATTTTATAAGGGTGTTTTGGAGCTATGTCAAAAGTTTAAGGATTAATTGATAATTTTTTTGGGCATTTTTTAAATAAATAAAAAATTTAGGGACTAATTAGATTTTTTTAAGAGAATTTTTAATATATTAAAATTTAAGGGATTAATATGTAATTTTTTTTAAACAAAATTGTCGCTGACGTCGTGACCTGGGCAACAAAACGGATTGCCCTCCTGTCCAGGTTTTAAAACAATGCTTTTAACCTTAATAAGTATCTAAATTCTCAAAGGCTTGACCATTGCCATTTGACAAAAGATTTTATCTATGACAACTACCAATATATATAAGCATATGATGAAGATATGAAAACTATTTTTGGTGCATCCTATTGCACCAAAAACAAGTGTTCAACTCGCACTGACTTGAGCGTACTCTCAACTGGTTTTTGATGTATTGGAACTAGATATGTAGAATACTTTCTCTGAAGAAATGTTGTAAAATAGAACCCAAGACTCCTCAAATGGAATATGAGCTCAAATTCTATCAACCAACAATCAAATTCTATCAAGACTTCATTGCAAGGACTATTTGTTTTCACAGAAATTTAGTACATTCTCATTCAATCAAACATGCATTTCTTATAGCAACTCATTCCGCTCTCACAATAAATAAGAATCTCTCCTAATCTTATAGCACATATACATTAATAGTTTTGTGAAGTTTTGTTCCATATTTATATCTTTTGTATTAACCATTAACTCTAAAGTACATTCTTATGTTTCCTTGGGATATAAGTCAGATCGGAAGAGCATTATGGTCACCGTCATAAAACTTCTGCTATACAATATGCAAACTACCAACATCATATGCAATTCTCCAATATGCAAGTCCTAATGTTTGTTATGTGCTAATTCTAAGCAAACTGTTATCGGCCTAAGCACCTGAAATTTATCAGGCAAAAATTTCAATTTGTATAATCAAACCCATCTCACAGTTCTAAGTAGCTTCAAGTTCATATAAGATATAAAGATTGTTCCTGACTTCTTAGCCCGCCCACAACAGCAAATAAACCTCTTATTCAAATTCTCACTTACACCATAATAATCCTACATGTTACCATAAAATCTAAATACTAACAGTGCACAGCTAAAGATATCTAATAATTCAATTCAAAACAAAGAAGAATACAACGACTAAGGCCACAAAATTTAGAAACCCTCAGGCCTGAGACCCTCTTTTAATTTGTGAGTCATGGTACCCCTCAATATTGTAAAAATACCCTAGAGAATGCTAAAACTCGAAACCAATATACTCTCCAACACCAAGCAATACTATATGTCATCATACCCAACAGAATTGCGAAGGCCTACAAATCTAACACACCAAAGGTCTTCATATCCTTAACAACTGCTTAAAAATAAATTCCTTCACCAAAATGCGAAACAGGGAACATCTCAGAGAGGAAGAGAAAGCATGACCTATACTCTAAATACAATCAGCGAATACACAAAGTCAACTGCATATTATGTTTGTCAAACTTCAGTATCTCATATAAATGTTGGACACTTCATGCCACTAAATCTGTCCTGCCAAAAACAAACATCCATATAGTTTCCTATAACAGAACAGCAATAAGTTTCTGCATTATTTGCTATATTTGGAATACCATTCTATATACCAACAAGACATTGAAGAAGTGATTAGAATGAATGATTAAGTTAACATAACGTTATTCAAAAGGCTTCCATATATGAGGAACCAAATATCTACAAATGCTAAATGACTTGACCCAACCAAGGCATATTTATCGTAGAATGTAAGTAATGACATGGCATACAAAGTAATAATGAGCGTTCCATGAAAAATTGGCATTAAAAGAAGTCAGCAATGTTCATTAAACCAAATGCGAGAAATATAGGGTTAACATATATGCCAAAGACAACAGATGTGCAACAGGGTAACCGACAGCACAAAATGCGAAACAATATTAACATATATGATGCATTGAGACGCCCTCATCATTCCTTGAATTTTAGTTATTAGAAACATGAGACTGACAAGATTGAGTCCAACATAAACAGCAATCCAAATGAGACCACAAGACTCGCATTGTTCTTATAATCTTCATAATCAGTAGCTTATAACAGTTTCCAACTGAAATGAAGTTAACTGACAAGATTCTACACTTTTAAGATGACTCTATGACTTCATTTGGAAGTAGAAAAAAGAAAGAATCATATTCCAAAACCAAAAACTGCCCGTATCTTGTGGAATATAAGATCCCGCCATCCTCTCTCAGTGTTTTCCACTACTGTTGAATTTCCATATCTGCAAAGGAAAAATCAAACATCCAAATCGAAATCAATGACTATTTCATCAATCAAGCTAAACCTATAGCTAAACAAAACAAACCCATGAACTAAAACTAACCTATCTTCTTCAGGAACATCAACATGCTTCAACTTAACAATGGTAACCCCTGGTTCAGGCTCCTCAAAAGTGAGTCTCACCTGCAAAACAAAACACAAAATCGAATAAATCAATCAAAACCCAAATCCAAATCAATCACCAATCAACAACAAGCCAACTAAACTCACCGTTGAATCAATCCCATCAGGCCAACTTCCAAACCTCCATTTCTGCACTATCAATTTCCCCTCTTGCAACTCCAAATTCTTCCCTGTAACTGACCCATCAAAAATGCTAATCTCTCCACCAACCTCCTTACTTATCCTAGCATTGCTCATTGTAAACCCCTTCCATCTATTCTCATCCATCAATATCTCATACAAATCCTTAGCTCTACAGCTAAATTTCTCCGTCATCGTTATCGTCTTAAACCCTTCTTTTCTCTTCTCCTCCTTCTTCACTTCTTTCTTAACAACTTCCTTCTTCTCCACCATCACACTCCCTCCTGCTTCCTCCTTCTTCCCCGTCTTCCCCGTCACTTTCTTCGCCTCTAACTCCTCCTTACACGGCCCACCTTTCGCCATACTCTCAACATAACCTCTCACCTTCTCAAAGATCAAAACTTTTCCCTTGTCCCACATCGCCTCCCTCAATCTCTTCCCAATAGGCCCCTCATCCTTCACTAAGACCCTAAGTTCTGGATTCTCATCCGCATTCTCATCCGAAATATAAGGGATCTCCACAGACCCTTCAGCTTTCAACAATACCCCACCTTCAGAATCCCTCGCTTCACCCTCCCACAAAAGGGTAACATTCAATTCATATCCCGGGATAATTTTCCCCTTCCGAACATTAACATAAGCTTCACCCTCGAGCTTTTCTAGCTTCTTGATCTTGATATAAAGATTCCCTTCGCCATTCAATACGGTGACGTTTGTTAGGTGTTGATTGAAGAAATTTCTTGACCATTCTATGCAGTCGGTTTCTGCCCAGTGCCAGTTGTGAACATTGGCGCCGTCTGGTCTGTCTTCTACGATCCAACGCTTGTCTCCCTCGCCGTACTTCGCCATTGAAGTGGGTTCGCCGGTGAATTATAATTGCACTTAGAGAAAATTTGATTGTGAATGTGAGAGAAACGACGAAGAAAAGAGAGTTAAAAAGCGAGGAAGAAGAGAACAATGGAAGGGTCTGGAAAATTTGAGCTCCTAACAAAAGGGAACGAGCGGAAGAAGTGTCTAGAACCTTGTTGTTTTAGGGACTAGGGTTTCCCGAAGTGGCGGTTTAGGTTTTGGGTGATTTTGTCATTTTTCAAGACTTATTGGAGTGTACTTTTTTAAGCTAAACCTTGGGGTTGAAAAATATCCTTTATAAGTCATAACTATGTGGTATAATTTGAAAGTACCACTAGTTTTAGAAAATGATAAAAAGACCCTAAGCCATGAAGTTATGGGTAACAACTATTGTTCAAATACCCGCCAAAACGTTTACTCGTCAGTCCGAGTTGAAATGAAGCGAACTCAGCGATTCAAACGTGTCGCAAGCTTAAAACCCGATAAACCCATTTCAACAACAACCGGTTCAGGCCATGACTCGGATACTCGGACGAGTCGCCGCTCCAAATCAGTGACCATTAGGTCCACTTCCGCCAAATCCAAAATCAACTCGGTTCCCAACTCAGTTCCATCGTTTGAGAAAATGACGATTATGCCCCCTCTGTTCTTTCAAGTTGATGCTCTTGATCTTGCGCCTCGTTTGCTTGGGAAGTTTCTGAGGAGAGACGACGTCGTTCTCCAGATTACTGAGGTAAAGATGTGATCCGTTTTCTGTTTGTTTCGTGGGAAAATGCAGGACAAGAAAGTAGAATAAAAAAATCACAACTTTGAGTTTTTTCAAATACCCTTTTGTACATTTTCCAGTTTTTTTCTTTTTTTAATACCCTTTTGTTTATTTTTGCTGAAAGAATGATTTTTTTTTTTTTTTAATATTTTTTTTATTGTTCCATTCTTTGGTTTCCTGTTGTTTAATTAACAGTTACATAAAGGGTATTTTTTAAAAATTTAAAGTTTATACTTCTTCAGTTGGAAAATAATGATAGTTGTGTTAAAAAGATCAATGAAGACTTTTAGTTTTGATAGGTAGAAGCTTATAGGCCAAATAATCATGCCATGGTAGATTTAGAATTACAGCAAGAACAGCCCCAGTTGTGAGTAGCTAATTCAAAATTTTTAGCTTCTTGTTGTTCAAATTTGTTGCATTTAAATGTTCTGCCTAAACTTACATGAAGTTTTGCTTTTTTCCGGGGATTTTAGTTTGGTAAAGGAGGGCATGCATATGTCTATCTTTGCTATGGTCTGCATACAATGCTCAATGTTGTTGCTGATAAGGAAGGAGTTGGGGCTGCTGTTTTAATCCGATCCTGTGCCCCCATGAGCGGTAATTTTCCAATGCTATATGTGCATTGCTAGTTGCTAATTTGGGTAATTTGCACTTCTGTGTGAACTGTGTATCTTCATACCTGTAATGGTTTCATCAATTCAGTATTTTAGTTTGAATTGTGTGTAATAAGTTTGCTACTTTAACATGCACCGCACCCACCAAAAAATGGAAGAAAAACCAGGAGCCCGTATCCTGTCCAATGATTTGTTTGCCCATCTTTGTTTTGCTCTTTCATATTAATGTATGTCCTCTCCGATATCCATGTATGTAGCCCGTGAAACTTTAAAATATTGGTTGAAGGTAAACAGGTACAAAATTAAACTAGTTCAGTACAAGAGCTAAGACAAGGAGAAAACGAAGCTTAGGCTGGAAAGGAAGAAATGAATACCAACTTAGTGTATTTGGGAGTTAATTGAACTGTGTTCTTAAGTTCTTTTTGACATAACCTTGATTGTGAACCCTCATCCTTATCTGCTATGTACATTTTGGTAATGAAAGGCGCATGCTAAACAACTGAATATCATTTTGTATAATTATGGTGAGCATACTTATAGGGTTGAAGACCATTCAGCAGCGTCGAGGACAAATAACTGAGAAACCTGTTCTTCTCACTGGTCCTGGAAAGGTAATGCCATTTCGATTATTATTTCGATTTTGCACAGTTTTTTTCAACTCTTAAACTTTTTGCTTGGGTTGTATAGTTGAATTGCCAAGATTCTGTTTGAATTGAAGCTAGTGAAGCAGATATTATACCTGGCTTCTTTCTGATGATGTGAGGATGCATCTTAAGTGAACTTATTGGTTTGTAATTTTATATATTACTCCATTCCTGTAACCAGCAGTTCATACTCGGCAATGATGTTGGTAATGCGTTTTAATTGCCTGGTTCAGCTGTGAAACAACTGTAATCACGTTGAGAGGATAAACTGATTTGCAGGAAAATGGGAATCTTTTGAAATATGTTCATAATTTTTCAAGTTGCAATTAGTATTACTTGGAAGCAATGGTGGATTATATTTCCGTTTGGTTTTGTTCAGTTTCTTTTGTTGTATCTATTTCCTTTATAGCTGACAATGTGTGTTATTTTCTAAAATTACTGAAGGGTCAAATCCTGGAGATTTGTTCAACTCCCAATCTCTTGTAATTTCCTTTTTCAGGTTGGACAAGCTCTAGGAATTTCTACAGATTGGTCTAATCATCCCCTTTACATGCCCGGTAAGCTTAACAACAACCATTCTTATCATTGTCGATCTGTAACTCTTATTTTCAAATGGCGTTTATGCAAGTTCTGAGAGATATAAATGGATGTTGAGTAGGTGGTTTAGAGCTCTTAGATGGTCCAGAGCCTGAGAAGATATTGACTGGTCCTCGTGTTGGCATCGAATACGCCTTACCTGAGCATGTTAATGCCTTGTGGAGATTTGCTATTGCTGATACACCTTGGATAAGTGCTCCTAAAAACACACTGAGGCCTCCATGATTTTGGATTCTTGGCGGCAAGGAATTCTATGTATATCGAAGGATTGGAGTGAAAGAAACTTGAATTGTTATAACATCAAAAGTTGTTTTCTTATTAGAAAAATGTGAGCTTGAAGGACTTGTGAATAGAGGTACATTTTTCTTGCAAATTTAACTTAATTTCATCATATTATCATGCCTTGTAAAGTACAAGAGAATTTGAGAGATGGGGTTGGCTGAATGACAAAAATAAGTAAACAGTTGCTTGGCCTTATAGACAATTAGAATTGAAACCAAGTTAGCAAAGACAATGGAGCTGTATTAATGGTGACTGGTGAGATTTCTTCTCAGCCAACATCTGCCAGCAGTCATAAACAAGTTCTCCATGGGAAATCTGCAATTGGGAGCAGAAATGAGAGAGTTATATCAACAATATAACGTGAATTTTGGCAAGATCAACTCTTAGGTGCAGAAATCCACTTTGAAGATGGGACTGAAACCTACAGAAGGAACTTTAAGAAAAACCAGAAAATCTTTCACATTTCCATCAGGACTCTGAAATCCAAATAAGTTACGCGTACTAAAATATGTTGATATGTGAGAGTAAAACCTTGTTTATGTAGCACTTATATAGCTATGGTCCACTATAATATTCCAAGTAGTTAATCCAAGATGTCGAATGTAACAAAGAAACTTATGCCAGAAAAAAAAAAACAGTGAGTACTGGCTGGGCTGCCAGCTCGAGCTTAAAATTTAGTCGTTTCACCATACATGTAAAAGTACAAAGAGAAAAGACATACCCAAATCCCAAAGGCCCAAAACCGGGAAAGGAAATCAAACAGCAAGCTAACTGTCACCTATACATATGGAGCAATTAGAACATTTTCAGGCACGCTAGAGTTCAGACTTAAAAATTCCGTCAGTTCATGAAGTCTATCACTAATTCTCAACTAAAGATGTGCCTCAGCCTGATGATGCTTCAATTCACCAACACATTCTATACAAGAGTAAACAAAGGGATGCTTGAACCATTCGATATGGAGGCAAGTTGTAAATATCAACTACAAACTACTTACCTTGAGAGGAAAGTTCACCTGTTTTGTTCAAACTTCCAACAGATTTTCATGTTTCAAATTACAGGAGGCTTTCAAACTTATGATTCCTTAAAACCCTGCAAGTATGTGAGATTAGGAAGCAAAGTTTACAATCACAATTGAAGCAGGTATAACATTTAATCATGAACAAGTAGCAGATATGATCAGAACTCCCTTTTGTTCAATTCATTTGATGCTTGAATGATAAACAGATTAACACCCCCAAAGTCATTGCTCTCAGAGCTTTAATTAGATGGAGATCCTATTTGAGGATATCAAATGTTAAAAAATCGTGACTTCTTGTAACATTTTTCAACATCTTTACTTAATGTTAACAGTATCTACTCAGAATTCTGTTACAGCTTTAAAGTTACTATGTTTACAATATGATTATTATACCTAAACTCCCAATGCTCGTTATGACCTGAGGCATGAATATTCACACTCTTCCATCATAAAAAGCATTAAATATAATCTAACAATGCCTTCAGCACCTGTACATTAACAGCACATTTAAATTGCAAGGAAAGCTATCAGCAATATAATAGAAACAATCCTCAAAATCTCCTATTGGGAGAAAAGGAAAGAAAAGGTCGACAAACTAATGAGATAAATTGCATTCCTTGTCACCAACCAGTACAGAACTATGTTACAGATAGACAAGCTTGGGATAGATAGCTTGCAATTGCCAGTAGCCGCAAAAACACCCACACGTCATTAGCCTATCATATTCAAACGTAGACACCACTACATTTAAAACCCTAATTTAAATATACAAAATTACCTTCAAGTCAACAAGAAAATATTCAGAAAATATTCACTCCACCCATCAGAAAAAAGCACTCACCATCTGCAAAGCATTAAAAATAAATGTAAGATGCCAAAAACTATTAAAAATAAGACAATTATGCAATCACTAGTAAACAAAGAAGAGCAATGTTTTCTCTGTACCTAAAATCAATCACTGAAACTTGAACTGGTGGCCTGAAAGTAGCAGGGCACCACATTATTGTTTAGTTGCATGGTGGCAAGCAATTAGTGAATCAGAACACTTTGTTCATGCATCAAACGTTAGAAGCAGATTTCTTAGATTCAAAAATATTGACAGCTTTCCTACACATTGGGACGCAACTGACTGTAAAATTCTGTGAAGTCAAGTCGGAACAGGAGAAATTTCAAATCAACGTGTTGCTGCACAGGCAACTGAGCTAAGAAACCCTCAAGCAATGACTTGTATTCTTTTGCTATTGCATCCAGCTCTTGCTCCATATTTCGAAGAAATTCTCCAGCACGTTGTGTTAGAGCCTTCCTGCCATCACTAAGCCATGACCCCGGCTCTGAAGATTTATCTTTTGTTTGCCTCCTTGATTTGCTCTTGTCTCGGGAACTTAAAGATGATTCCATGGTTCTGCATTAGATGAAATGAAAATGTGTTTATTAAACAAAACAAATTACTGTTTAACATATTTATAAATATATACTGGAAAAACAGAAAGAACATCAGTAAAGAATTTAAGATCATTACCTAGATTGCAACTCAAAAATTCCTTCATACAACCGATCTGCATGACTTCTGAATTGCAGTATGAGATCAAACAAGAGAAAGAGAGACTTGTAAAGGGATTGGGACCGTTCACCAAGGAGAGATTTTTCAAAAATCGAATAAAGGTACTTCTCATGTGCTGCAAGTAGATCATCAAGATCTTTGGCTACTTCCATTTCATTTGAAAAATTAGACCACGACACCTCCAAGACTTCAAACATAATATAATATTGCAAATTTGTAACAAAATGATTCATCTCATCCCAAAGAACCTGGCATCGCCTCAATGTTGAAAGCAACTGTAACTTAACTGCATGTTGCAGCTTAGTGAATAAATGAGAAGTAATACAGTTGGGTTTCATTGTCTTCCAAGCTCCAATAAGTGCATGTTCCACCCGTCTGAGCTTCCACAGAAAATTAAAAATTTTTAAGTATCTTGCCATAACAGATTCTGTGAATAATGTATCTAGAGGAACCCTTGCATCATAATCCAGTGAGAATACATCCCAACCTCTATCTCCAGTTCCATGGGGCATCAGCTTAACCCTCAACCTATCCAATATGTCAGGATCATCATACTGAGCATTAGATGACCGAATTGCACTTTCCAGCAATCCAGCAAGCTTGAAAGAGCTAATAGTATTAGCAGGCTCAGAAAGTTCGGGCCCTACAATATCCATAAGATACTGAACAAAATCACCTTGCCCAAGTAGCAAATATCGTTTTATTGCAAGACAATGTTCTTTGAACTTGTACCTCTTGTATATAACATCCAATAAATGTTTATCAATTCTTTTTGCTGCTTCTATGACCAAAGACTCAAGTGCATCGGTTTCTCCATATCCAAGACCCCCTCTTCTAGTCGTAGTCCCAGCTGCAGCTGCAGACTCTGTTGCTGCATCAGCCCAACCACGATCATCACAACAAACACGTAGAAAATTTATAGATTTTCCAGTCCTCAGAATTCTCTGAGCAAGAGATTGTGAAATAAAAGAAGGAAGCATCCCCGAATGAAGCCGGTATCCTTCCCTCCAAAGTGACTCAGCTTTCACAGGCTGACCCACAACAAAGAACTCAGCAAATATATCCTCTAACTCACCTTCCAAAACCCAACTTCTTACCATTTCAAACAGTGGAGAACACACCCGTTTAAGTAAGCGTGTCATAAACTCATGCACAAGCACATCACCATGTTGAGCATGCAAATGAATAGCTCCAGCCATCGCTCCACCCCTCAAAACCCTACACTTGTCAACCAAAACAGCCATCAACCTCATTTTCACCATTGGTTCTGCAAACCAAACCGACAATCTCCTCAAGGACAAATAATTCCCCGCATTGGCACTCTCTGAAACCAATGGAATTGGATTCATCGCCTGCGCCTCAAGCACAGCCAACAACTTGTAATACTCCAATAACTCATCTTGCAATGCAGCACAAAATGCCTGCCCAACTGTCCCCACATCTTCAGCTGGAAATCGATCCATGCTCTCCGAAACATACCCTTTCACTTTCCTGAACAGCCAACCCAATTCACAAAGCTTCCTAACCATAACACGAGTAGCTCTAGGCACCTTAACTGAATGCAACAATACATACCCATCAACACTAGCATCAAACTTAACATATCTACCATCAATTCCTTGACAACAATACAACACGTCTCTCACAATCACCTCTTCACTCACCTCATTCTCTTCCTTAACCACATTCACAAACTCCTTAAATGCGATTTCGCGCAAATTCTCAGGATCTTTACTAACCATCAAAACTCCATTATTTCTCCAACCCAATTCTTTATTCTCCTTCCCATTCGAAACATTTGAACCATTACTAAATCCATGACCATCTAACCCGAAATTTGGCAACAAATTCGACGAATTCACAGCATTTTTACTACTTTTACGATCATCAGATATAATTTTAAGCAAATAAACAACAGCCCACTTATTATTAACACTACCAGTCCCTGTTTTAGCTGAAAACTTAGTGAACAAATCACTAAAAGTGAGTGCATCGGAAGACCTACCCTGAGTGGCGAGACGGCGCTTAATGGACTCAGCAATAGCGGCTGCATCGGGCGCAATTGACGGCGTTAAACGGCTGGACAGAATGCGAACGGCGTAGCGAAGAGAGGCTTCGAAATTAGGGTTTTTAGGGTTCTGTTGTTGCGGGGATTCGGCGAGTAAACGATTAACCAGCTCTTTGACGAGATCTATGAGCTTTGTTTGATCTTCTTCGTCCATTTTTCGAAGGAAAGTGAAGAGAAGTGAAGGGTTTTTCAGAGGATTTGATTTTGATTTTTGTTTTTTGTGTTTTTCTTTCGGTTGTTGCGAGTGTTTTATAAAATTATGTTTTTGATTTTATATGGGCGGGGAAATGAGAAATCATTTTTGAAATCATACATAATTTACTGATATTTAAATTTATAAAAACAAAATATTTCTAATTTTTCATACAATTATTATTATAAGAATTATAAGAATATTAATATAATTTGATTTTTGAATTGTAACAGAAAAAAAAAAAAACGATTTCTTAATACTCTTATAAAATTACAAAAATACTTATTAAATTCTGATTTTTGAATTGTAAAAGAAAAATATTTATTAATTTTTTTAAATTATAAAAAATTATCGATTTTGATTTTTTAATTGTAAAAGAAAAATAAGATTGAAAACTAATAAAAAAATTATGAAATTGAAATTCCTTTATAAAATATTGAAAGTAGTTATTATTTGCAAATTTTTCTTAAGATTTTTTTTTTTTTTTAAATCTTGAGGATATAATTATATTTACTCAAATAAATATTTATATATACCCTTTCCACTAATAATTTTATTAGAAATGTGGTATACAGAAGGATTTGTTCTTGTTCATAATATTGATTAAATTCGTTTTTTTTTTCTTTTATGATTCTAATATTTTAGCATGATAACTTATTTTGTTAAAACTAATATCTATTTCTTGAGTCATAACCATTTATTTGTTTTTATCTTTCTATTTTTTCCTATTTAGTTTCCCATTATATTTCATAGGTAAGATAGATTGTTAAAAGTCCAAGCACAAAAATTAATAAATGCCCTCCAAAATTATCAAAAACCATTTTAAAAATATATATAAAAGAACATCATAAAATAATATATATATATATATAAAAGAAAAATTAACAGTAAAAAAATCCCATTGTAGTTTTTGAAAATCATAATGATATCTCATGCACGGATGAAATTAATTAATTAATTAAAATTTATATATTTTATAAGGCAAAAGTAGAATAATTAATTGGAATTACCCCGTGTTTAAAATCAAATAATATCTCTTTAGTTAAACCTCAAAGAAATTAATGAGCATGTTGTAATGATTAGGCTTGTAATTAACATAATGAAAAGTGATTAGGGATTGAGTAATTAATTGATTGAAGTAGGTAAAAGTTACAAGTGAATTGTCCTATTATCATGACACAAATTATGATAATATTAACTATATTTTTCTATGGAATTTGTATTATAATAATGAATCTCGATATAATTATAAATATCAAATTTTACATTGTTAATGATTGAGGTCGAGATTCATGTTTTTAAGTTTGGATACTCTTAATTAAGAAGGCACTTACATGAATCTTAATAGTAAACCCCTACGGGTGAGACTTCAAAACAGACAATTCCTATTTGGTTGAACACGGATTTGACAATTGATATTGAAGCAGTTTGCCACTTGATGGGCCAAGTGTGATGACCTCGTGGACTTGAGGTCTATGAAGTGGGAAATTTGTCACGTCCCATATTACTAGCAANTAAAAGAAAAATTAACAGTAAAAAAATCCCATTGTAGTTTTTGAAAATCATAATGATATCTCATGCACGGATGAAATTAATTAATTAATTAAAATTTATATATTTTATAAGGCAAAAGTAGAATAATTAATTGGAATTACCCCGTGTTTAAAATCAAATAATATCTCTTTAGTTAAACCTCAAAGAAATTAATGAGCATGTTGTAATGATTAGGCTTGTAATTAACATAATGAAAAAGTGATTAGGGATTGAGTAATTAATTGATTGAAGTAGGTAAAAGTTACAATTGAATTGTCCTATTATCATGACACAAATTATGATAATATTAACTATATTTTTCTATGGAATTTGTATTATAATAATGAATCTCGATACAATTATAAATATCACATCTTACATTGTTAATGATTGAGGTCGAGATTCAAGTTTTTAAGTTTGGATACTCTTAATTAAGAAGGCACTTACATGAATCTTAATAGTAAACCCCTACGGGTGAGACTTCAAAACAGACAATTCCTATTTGGTTGAACACGGATTTGACAATTGATATTGAAGCAGTTTGCCACTTGATGGGCCAAGTGTGATGACCTCGTGGACTTGAGGTCTATGAAGTGGGAAATTTGTCACGTCCCATATTACTAGCAACGGGTTTAAGATTCAAATTATAATATATTTATCATCTTAACTCTTAGGAGATGCATTTGGGTGAAGAATGCTTGCACAAAATCCAAAAGCAAGCTCGTTCTAAAGCAGATAATTTCTATTTGATTGGACCGTGATTGACGATAAATGTAATACAAAATTAAAAAAAAAAAAAAGTAATTTTTATGGTAATATTAATTGATATAATAGATCTAAATATTTAATTCTAAATCTAACTTCTTAAAATGTGCATCATTTTGTCTTACTTTTTTTGGTTAAACTTCATGGCATGATAGAGATATTATAACAAAAGATGAGGTGGTAGATAAACTAAAAAAGAAACTAGTTTAGTCGGTGAAGTTTGGTTGAGCATTGATAAGTATAAATTAATCTCCATTATTTTGATTAATTAGGTATGTATTAAACTATATTTCTACTTCAAGCCTCATTATTGTGGCTAAAATTTAAAAAACTACCAAATTTTTTTATTCTTATTCAAGGGTGTTTATTTATTTAATTTAATTTTTTTTTTTTTTTTGTGTGATCGGAGGTGTCCGAGTCAGCTTACTTGTATTTCATCTAATCCCACGGGTCTTGAAGCTAATCATCAAGTAAACCCTCCACTGACCCCTCCTATTAGCAATCAAGAGGAATTGAACTTAAGACCTCTTGAGTAATACACCAAAAAGTTTCAATCCTATCTAGCCGTCTACGGGTGTTTAAAGGTGTTTAGTTTGTGGAATAAAAACTCATACAAATTAAATGTAAATCAAGAGCCTGATTTAAAGAGTGACACGAGGGTTTTCAATCATCTACTTTATTAACAAAGTAATCTCGATCATTACTTATATGTATTAATATTATCCATGTTTTACTTTACGAGTTAGGTCTATGTCAATTAGAAAATATGAAATTAAGAATTAAAAGCCTTGAATGAGAAATTACACTTCTTAAATTTTCAAAAGAACGACTTCATAAATTCAAGTACAACCGATGATATGGATCATGTGTCGTTAGAAAACATCGTACCAAACTTGGGTTTTACATGTTGAAAATTTTGAAGATTATACTAAATATTTTCTAAAATTTGTCATAAGTTTCTTATAATATCTTATTCAAGATGCCTTAGAATCTAATTAGGTAACATTTTTTTTTATATATTTGAAAATAAAATCGGTGATAAGTTGTTGCACATATTGACAATGATGAATTAAATATATTTTAAAAAATTAAAAAATAAAATGGATAGGCCTTGCATTGCATGAGAGGAATATTCAAATAAAAAAAAAATTATTTTTGACCTACTTTTTAGGTTCATTTGTAGTATTTATTAATTATTGAGTTGAATTTTAACTCTATTGAGGAGGACAAAGATTGACCCATTATATTATACTTTAATTATTAAACTTGGTCTCTCAAACTTAGTCCATGTGATTTACTTTTAATTAATTACTATTATTATTTTAATGCTATTTCTAGTTTTAGATTAAAAAGACAAATAATAATAATAATAATCTATTATATACCTATATATCATGATAAAAAGTTTACTTACAACGTTCGTGTAAATCAAAAATGAAAATTAAATTATGGAAAAAAAATTGTTTTTGCGATTACATCAAAAATAATGAGTTTAGGGAATAAAGAGAATGAAATAATAATTGCGCGATTAGAACATTATATTTTTAAAGATTAAGAAGAGTGTGAGTTTTTCGTATATTATATGTCAATTTTTTTTTTAAATAACTTTTCCAAGAATTTTTGGTTAATAATAGGACATATCCCATGATTAATTAATTATTTAAACAACCTATAACCTATGTAGGGAAAATTCTCTCACGCCTTTAATATATGAAATTTTATATCCATTATCCACAAAAGTGTTCTTATTTTCTATTTTGTCATAAAAAAATTAATTTGTCTTCAAGGTTTGGTGTAATTATAAACAAATAATCCTTATTTAAAAATAAACAAAAAACATTTATTGAAATTATAAAATAATCCAAAAAAACCTTTATCAAAACTAGAATAAAAAATTTCCTAAAATTTTGATAAAAATTCTTTTTGCATCTTTTTCCAAATTAAAGGACACTTTATTCAAGAAATTTTTTAACCCCTCAAAAAGTTAATCAAGCAACCCCTTTAATTGTAAAAGAGAAAAAAAAAAGAAACTTAGTAACTTACCCTAAATCTTCTTCAAAGTTCGTGAAAGATATCTCTAAAGACTAGAGTATTAGTTGGTTATCATTAAGGACACTCATTTAATATAATATCATTTTGATCCTTTGACCCGTAATACCATTAGTTAATTATTACTTCAATTAGAAATTATATTGAAATGGCAAAAATAACCTTTATAAAAATAATAAAAAATACATTACTCAAAATACACTAGTGTGTAATATATTTATTTACTAACACGAAGAGAAATGGTTTGAATATATATTATTATCATTTGTAATAATGTATTTTTCATTATTTCTTGGGAGATGTTTTCGTCATTTCAATGCAATTTTCAAGTCGATTAACGATCAATTAACGGTTTAGTAAGTCAAAGGACTAAAATTCTCGTATTCGAAACGAGCGTCTTTGACTTGTATGACATTGAAACCATGAGGGGCGAAAATGCAATTCATTGTTTTGTTTTTTTGACAGCTCTGATCTACTTTTAGAAAGTAAAAACGTCAACGGGCAGTAAGAAAATTAAAAACAAAGAAAACAAAATTTTCAAATGTTGCGTGCGGTAGGAGGCCAAAGTGGTCCACTCTACTTTTTTAATTTTTGTTTCGTTTTTTCTTTGAACTTTTCTCCCCCTGATGTATTATTAAATAACAAAGAACCCCTTACCGTTAAATTTTAGACGTTTAAATAGACGGTAAAAGGGTAATTTGGTAAATATTTATTAAATCCTAACAAGGTAAGTTTTAACGGCTTACTACGTTCACTAACGACATTCGAATTTTTGTTATTTTAGAAACCTCGGGGGTCTATGTGACTTTTGGCTTTTTTGTTACTTCCAAGAACACAAAAAACAAAAACACCCAAAATAAAAACAAACTCACACGTTCGCGGATTGTGTGAGAGCATTAAGACAACAAACACCATCGATTCGAACCCATTTCTCTTGCACTTCTATATATCCGGGTTTCACGCGTGACTTGCGGGCAAGTTGCTTTTTTGTGTTTTTTGTTTTCGTTTTGTATTCAGAAGTTTGAAGCAAACCTAACCCACAATTCAAAATTGTAACTTGATGATATGTGAGGGAACTAGGCTTGAAAATCTCATCTGGGTATGTGTGTTTTTGATTTTTGTTTTTGTTTTATTATCTTGATTGGTAATGTTTCTAATTTTATTGTTGAAAGCTTGAAATGGGGTTTGTTTTGTAATTTTTTGAAGTTTGGTTGTGTTCTGATTTGATTTGTTTGACTGATTATTTTAAAGGGAAAGTTCGTTTTTGGCTAAACCTTGTTTGACATAGCATCGAGACAAGAGAAAATTTTGATTTTGGGGTTTTTTTTTTGGCATTGTTTTGTCTTATATTGTGGTGGCTGTGTTGAATCAGTCGTGAAAGTTTGTTTCTTTAAGGCAGGCTGAGTTTTAGATTTGTTTAAGCTGTGGTTGCTTTATTGAAATTTGAGAACTTGTTTTGTTTTGTTCATTGTTCTTGTCTCTTATTTTGGTTGCTTTTGAGGTTCCTGAGCATAAATAAGATACTTTAGTTGGATGGATAATTAAAATGGGGCTAATCTTGTTTGTGTCAAAGGTAGTTTCTAGGGAACCGGGTATCAATTATCGCTAGTTTGTTCATTTTGAGTGGTTACACATGGAGGAGATTCAGCTGTATGATCAAATATTTTGTTTTAATTTGTCGGTTTTTTTGTGTGGTTATACCAATTGTCTTATTGGTGCACGCATTTTTTCCCTTTTATAAATGTTTTTTCTCTTCTTCCTCTTGTTGAACATATGTTGTGAACGCAGATTAAGTTTTTGTCTGGAATGCAGTCCTTTATTGTATATTACTGCCGTCTAATTTTCATTCACAGGGTTTAAATCTATTAATATCTGTTGTTACATTGTCTTATATGTTTGCAATTACCAAAGCTCCGCTTTGCTTCCTTGCACTTCCTTGTGTAACATCATATGGTTCTGCGGATCCATTTGCACCCTGCTTGTTTAGCGGTCCAATCCTTTGGTCAGTCTAATGTATGTTTATGGCTTTAGAAAGAGAAACAGTATATTTGAAATAAGGCACTACTTAAGGTTGCATCGATTCTCCTAACCTTCCCAAACTCATGAATATATAGATTAGATACTTGTTTGCAGTTGGCAGAAGCAACAATATGATAACATTTTGCTGCTATTCTTAATTTTTTACCCTTTAAGTTATTAAGTTAAGCTTAATTTGGAAGTGAAATTTGCATCCTTTTATGGATTACCTATGAATTTAACTTACTGACAAACAAAATTTTATTGCAGATGAAGACGTGTGAAATCTTTAATAGATGTCAGTACTGTCATTGAATTAGAAATATCACAAAGATTGTGATTAACAATGGCTCCTGGAGGCAGCACTTGTAAAGAAGTTATTGTATCTCATCCGACAGTTGCAGACTATGACATTAAGGCAGAAAATAATAGTTCACTTGCAAAAACTAGTGTTGGTTTGGCTGGAAAACATGGGATTTGTTCAAACAATGGTGTGAATGAGCTCCTTGAGTGCCCTGTGTGCAGAAGTTTAATGTACCCTCCAATTCATCAGGTCTGTTCTTGATTCTCGAGTGTTGTGGTTTATCCTTTTTAGTCTTAATTGTGCCTTGTATAAATTCATATTTTTTTTGGGAGTTATGTCAAGTATGATTTCCCTTTATAACTGGACCATCCCGATATTATGGCGTGAGGCTTGTATAATTAAATCTTATGGTCATGCTAGCGCAGCTGTGTTTCCAAGTTGAAGGAGCTTTTATACCCATGTTTATGGTTCCTTATGCCATTACTTAAATAATTGATATCAATATTCACCATTTATTTTAACAGGCAGCGTCAAGAGTAGTTTCTAGTGCTTTTTCCTTATTTTCTTTTTCATTTCCATTTGTTTTTTCTCTCTCATTCTTCTTTTTGATGAGTGGCTGAATGGTCAGTTGGGCGTTTCCATTTTATTGTTGTTAATGCTCTTGTGTGTATCTAATATTAAAGTTTTACTAGGAAAATAACTATGTGAATTTACTAATGAGGATATTGCATGTCATATATATGGTGTAAATAGTAGTTGACAGAGAAGTGTTGCGTTATTTTTGGGATACTACCTGTTAATTAGTTTAATTTATAACTTGTTTTTGAATCCTTCGATATAATTTATGGATTTCATTCAGCTTCTTATATATGAATAGATTTGTCTACTAACACTCCCCTTTTCTTATGAACTTTTTGTTGCAGTGCCCAAATGGACACACTTTATGTTCAAACTGCAAGAATAGAGTACATAATTGTTGCCCAACATGCCGCTATGATCTTGGAAATATCAGGTGTTTGGCTTTGGAAAAAGTTGCAGAATCGTTGGAACTCCCCTGCAAATACCAGGGTTTAGGTTGTCATGACATTTTTCCCTACTACAGCAAGCTCAAGCACGAGCAGCACTGTCATTATCGTCCATACAATTGCCCTTATGCTGGGTCTGAGTGCTCTGTCACAGGTGATATACCAACCCTTGTTGCGCATCTTAAGAATGACCACAAGGTTGATATGCACAATGGTTGTACATTCAACCACCGTTATGTCAAATCGGATCCAAATGAAGTTGAAAATGCCACATGGATGTTAACTGTAAGTTCTTTTATGCTATGATATGTATGCTGTAACCTATGTCTCCTAAAATAGGATTCGATGCAAGTTTTTATCATTTTTACAGATGGATTCTGCTGCCTGTGCAGGTCTTTAACTGCTTTGGAAGACAATTTTGCTTGCATTTTGAGGCTTTTCAGCTTGGCATGGCACTGGTCTATATGGCCTTTTTACGGTTTATGGGTGATGATAATGAGGCAAAGAAATTCAGCTACAGTTTGGAAGTCGGTGCAAATGGACGGAAGCTAACATGGCAAGGAGTTCCAAGGAGCATCCGCGACAGCCACAGGAAAGTTCGTGACAGCCAGGATGGACTTATTATTCAGAGGAATTTGGCGCTCTACTTTTCCGGTGGAGATAGGCAGGAGCTGAAGTTGAGGATCACAGGCCGTATATGGAAAGAAGAATGAGAAAACAAAGAGGGTGTTGGACATTAGGGTGATTGACGATTGTACAGTGCAAAATTTCTGAGACTCACCAGCATTGCACCAAGCGCGAAGTATGATGCTTGAATTTTTCTGATTCCACGTTTGCTTTTGTGCTTGTATTGTCTTATGATTTGAGGCCTTTGTTGTGTAAAGAACTTTTCTGTCAGCTCGTCGCTGCTTGGGACAGATCTGGTTGAAGTTAGTGTAGGAACTGAAATTCATAGATTTCAATTTGGCAGCTGCTCAAAAGTCCATGCAGCAAAATGCGTTTGTAGTTCACCTATTTGTTATCTTGTTTAATCTACAATCCTTTGCCTCCTTGTGTTCTTCATACAATATCTGGAATTTGTTATGAATTTCAATCACCGTTGCTCTCCTTCAGACCGCTGCAGATTTTCTTCAACTTGAAGCAAACAACTTCTGGAGAATCAATCCTGTGTTGAATGGTAGACAATGAACCCAGAAAGTTCTCCTAAATTGCAGCTTTTCAAAGGAATTGGCATGGATACCCGCCAGTTTTATTTATTTAGTTTTTAAATAAATTTTTAAAGAAAATCTCAATCTATGGATTTGGAGTCACAGGTTGAGTTAGTCTCATAAGTCATAAGGTTATCGAATTGTTCATCATAGCTCACTTACAAACAAAATATATGCTTATATAGGTGGACGCTGGATGCCCATTTTTCAGATAAAGATGTTTATGATATATAATGACGCAACATGATATTGTCCTCTTTGGCCCTACAGGGCCTCGCCGTTTTGTTTTTGGGCTCATCATGTTGGGTTAAGGTCTGTAACCCTATATATACACATACTCCCTCTCACAAAGAGCGATGTGAGACTTCATAACACACACCTCCATTGTGATCGTACTGATAATGTGTTAAATAATGGCCCAACATGATATTGTCCACTTTGGCACTACAAGGCCTCTGCCTCACTGTAATATACTGTCTAGCTAGTAATTCTTTGAGAAATACATGACAAAATCCATTAAATAACTTTTATAAACATATATACATAGAGATATATAATGTAAAATCCAAAAATTCTAATTTTAATTCATATAAATATATACACAAAATAACTGATATACTTTAATAAGTACAAGTTAGTCTTGGACAGTGTCGCCAAACTCCTCCGCTTCTGGACGTCCCACCCGATCGTAAATCATCAAGTATCTGCAAAACAGTAAGATAACGGAGTGAGCACTAATTGCTTAGTAAGTAAACCAAACTGTACTACTGTTTTTCCTCCGTTACTCATATTCTGACTTTCCTTTTCTCACTTTGTTCTTTGCTAATATTCTTCATTTTTTTCTGATATTCTGCATTCTTTTCTGATATTCTGATTTGCTACTTACCAATTTGCAAAGACAATTAATAAAACTGTACATCGTCGAGCACATAAGAAATACTAAATCATGTAAGTAGCATAATACATATGCAAAATAATAAACTTTTCTAAGAAAAGAACTTTCTTTTCTTTTCTGTTTTCTGTCTCTTATGTTGTATCTCTTTCTTTTCTTTTCTGTTTTCTGTCTCTTATGCTGTATCTCTTTCTTTTCTTTTTTATTTTTGTTTCTTTTATGTTCTGGTTTGTCGATCGGACTAGGTTGAGGCATGGATTTGGAACTCTGGCCATGTGAGTGTATATTGGGTACAGTCCTCATTTACATGCATTGCTGATGGACTGTACTAATACTGTATCTCTCTGCTGAGGCCGCTCACTGATGGTGACGTGCATGTAGGTTTTCTCTGCTGGGTACAGTCCTCATCCACATGCACTGCTGATAGACTGTACAAATATTGTATCTCTCTGCTGAGGTCGCTCACTGATGGCGGCGTGCATGTGGGCATCTCTGTCACTCACAGGTTCCCCATTGTAACAACCTTATAACATAGCATACTATAGAAAGAGAATAGAAAGAGATACTATACACATTTCTAAATAAATTTCCAAGCTATGAAAATTCTACACCTGCATTCTTTAGTAAATGAGATAATATACATATTTGCACGTTAGCTTAAAAGAAAACTACAAGCTATTTTCTTTTCTTTCTTTTTCTCATTCTTTGCTAACATATTCTTTACTATTCTCATTTACCAAATCAAAGCTATATATAAATCATGTGCACAATATATGCATGATCAAACCCATTCTTTGATGTTCTTTCCAAGTTCATATACACAACCTTGAAAATTCATTATGGCATAATGGTATGTCATAACATATTCTACCATTTTTATCAATAATGCCATATGTTAGAACCCTTCTTTTATCCCCACTTGCAAAAACCACTCATGCACTACAATTTCTAGAATTCACAGTCACCTCAACAACATGCAAGCGCACTCAACCAAACATTCTAAAATACCTCTATATTACTATTAATATTCAAGCAAGTACTAGTACAATCCTTAACAAGAAACACCAAGTACAACCAGAAAATGAACAGTGAATGACAATAAGCAGATTAACCAAAGAACAAATTAAAGAAAAGAAATCACTAAGAATGACCAGCTGGCTTCGAGGGCCAGTACCTCCCCAACCCAATTTCCCTTTACTTTTTCAATGCCACAAATATTCTCTGTCAACCCTTTTTACGCACAACTCTCACTCTAACAGAATTATTCTAAACCCAATCCAAGGATGCCATGCTCATTCAACAGAAAAAGTGCCACTTTATCCTCTACTCCCTCTCTTATTCCTTCTACTGAAGACGTGCACCAAAGGGGTCTCATCATTACCCTCGCCAAGGAGAGCCACCTTGTCTCCAAGGTGGAATAAAGGAAATTGGCTATCAATGGAGGTGAATTCCTCCAAGGTGTTCTCATATGTGGGCAAGCCTTTCCATTTGATTAAGACTTCCACCATTCAAAAGTTTTCGCGTGCATAAAACCTCTTTCGGTTCGACTTGCAACACAAGATCTTCATCCAGCGCTACTGGAAAAGGTTGGGCAGTGGGCGATGGGTACTTTGTTTTCTTGAGTTGTGACACATGAAAAACATCATGGATGCGTGCTGAAGGGGGCAGATTCAAATGATAGGCCACTGATCCAATCTTTTCTTTAACTTCAAAAGGGCCATAGAAGCGGGGGCTGAGTTTCTCATTGTTTCGATGAGCTAAAGAACGAAGACGGTACGGTTGCAACTTAAGGTAAACTGAATCTTCCACTTCCAGTTGAACTTCCATTCTCTTTGCATCGGTATAGTGTTCTATTCAGGTCTGAGCCTTGAGGAGATTCTCCTGTAACTCAGCTAGGATGACATTGTGAGTTTGCAATTGATAGTTCACTTCATCGACAGGTGACCCATGATCCAAAAATTTAAAAAGAGTGGGAGGATCGCAACCATAAAGTGCTTTAAAAGGGGTCATACCTGTGGAGCCATTGAATGTCGTATTAAACCAAAACTCGGCCCAAGAGATCCATTTAGGCCATTGGCGAGGCTGACTACCCACAAAATAGCGAAGATACGTTTCAACACATCGATTTACCACTTGGGATTGACCATCTGTTTGAGGATGGTAGGCCGAATTCATGTGAAGCTGCGTGCTCGAATGTTTAAACAATTCCTTCCAAAAGTGACTGATGAAAGTCCAATCACGATCGGATACAATCGATCAGGGAAACCCATGTAGCCGAAAAATCTCTTTAATGAAAAGGTTGGCAACATCCATGGCCGTGTAGGGATGCTTAAGAGTCAAGAAATGGTTGTACTTAGTCAATCGGTCAACGACTACCAGGATGGTATCGGTGCTATTTGCTTTCAGGAGCCCGGTGATGAAGTCCATAGAGATGTCTTCCCACACCTGATCAATAATAGATAGAGGCTGCAATAAACTGGCGGGACTCAAGGCCTGGTACTTATTTTGTTGACAAATTGAACAAGAGTCGACATACTCTTTGATATCCCGTTTCATGCCCTCCCAATACATTACACTGCTGAGCCTTTTAAAAGTGCAAAAGAAACCCGAGTGGCCCCTAGCAGGAGACGAGTGAAACTCATGTAGAAGTAGTGGAATGTGGGCCCCTTTCTTTGATACAACCAGTCGGCCATTACATACGAGATGGTGGCCAACTAATGTAAATGGTGGATGACCATTGGGATCCAGCAACAACTTTTGAACAATCCCACGCAATTTGTCATCTTGTTGAATAGCATTTTCCAATTCTTCAATCCCTGCAAAATAACTCATAGACAACCCATTGAATTCAACCTGTTCACTTCTTCTAGATAACGCATCAGCTACCCGATTCTCTGCCCCTAGTTTATACTGGATAATAAAGTTCAAACCTATCAGTTTAGTAACCCAATTCTGTTGATCTTCACTCAGTAACCGCTGATCCGTTAGGAAATGTATACTCTGTTGGTCTGTCCTAATAATGAATCGCTGTCCCAATAAATAATGTCGCCACTTCTGAACCGCCATCACAATAGCCATTAATTTGCATTCATAAACTGATTTAAGCTTCGATTGCACAGATAACTCTTTGCTCGGAAAAGCTAACGGTCTACCTTCCTGCATCAAAACAACCCATAACCCACTCCCTGATGTTAGAGTAGATGCCCTAGAGCCAATCAATTATTGTAGAATTGACTCTTTGTAATAATGTTCATTAATCAATAAAAGACATTTTATTCTATATCGCGTAAATCATTATTATTGCAATATGTATTGATATATGTCCTTAGAATGATAGAACCGTGATGAGGGTATCAAGTGTTTCAAATCTTGATAGTGAGAATCATATGAGCACATATGGTGGCCATTCTAGAAACGTCCGTAGCCCCAGTATTATTCTGAAGTAAGGGCACATATAATACGGTAAGACTATCATAGTATTGAACGACCCTGTCGAAAGGCAGTGACTGATCTCACTTGTCAAAGTTGTTTGGTGACAACCTGGTGCAACACATGGGTGCTTGTTGTAGGCGAAGACACCGCAGCAAGTTCACTAGATAGACCCACCAGAGGATTTCATATGGATGGTAACCCCAATGTCCATGGAACAAATCCTCTAACGAATGATGGTGCATGTGATCCTTAGACTTGAGATCACCGGAGCGCCTTGTGAACCGATTGGTGTAGTTTGACACTAGCCTAACGCAGTTCTATTCAGAGCTGTCAATACGGTAGTGATTGGCTGCATCGAGGAGTGTATTAAGACTATGGTGGATAGACAGAGGATTCATCACTCCCAGGTACGGGAGAAGTTATCTCATGGCGCAATTCAGTATATGGCAATGACACTAAAACTGTGGCCATAGTGAGATTGAGTTGTTGCTCTATCCAGTTTATAATACAGGTCATTGGTCCAGAAATTGAATACATAATATCGAGAGTAACCGAAGGTTGACACTATTTCTATG